TTGGTTTCATTTATTAATTTACTCACAGAATTTCTGCCTCGTTTTGCTCATTTTCATAAAATCGACTATCGTTTAGGTGGAAGGTGTAACACCCGGAATGCCCCAATTATTGAAATTTGATGGAGACTTTTTTTGTCAGAAAAATGATTAGATCTATCACTGAAAACAAACGTCTGAGTGAGTGAAGCATCCGGCTATCTCACACAAAGACAGTGATACCATCTAACAGAATAGACTGGAAATTCAAGAACCTCCTTCACCAAGTAGATCACGAATTTATTTGCTTGATTTTTCTTCAACATCATGCATCAGGAAGTCTTCAGCACACAAACTATCGTAAGGAGGGTCACAAATGAATCCGAAACAACATACTGAAAACCATAATGAGTTGACAAAATGTCTCTGGAAGTACGTTATTCATTTTGCGGTTCTTGTCACTTATCACGTGTGCATGTTCGGTATTCTGTCCTCACGTTATTCTTATCCTCATAGTCCTAATGTGCATTTCATCACAATATATTCTTTGGCCCATATTGGAGTAATTTCGCCAAATATTCGTCTCCATGCATCATCAAAACGATGTCACGGTTACGGTTAGTAGATTAAACGCCTCTGCAATCAACAAAAGCGATGTCAGGGTTAGTATACAATGAAGGCATTAAAAGTAAGTTTCCACTTAGGAAGAAATATTGCACACACGAACACATAAGTGAGAACCTTGGGTTGAATAATTTGTGTGGGACTCATTCTGATAATGTTTAACAACATCAAATAGTGTTTCGTTTTTTTCTAATCTCACGGATGAAAAACCCAAAGGTATTCTGTGTTAGAGAATAGTTATCTACCCACGGAGTGCTTGCTACGCAGCTTGATCCCTTCTACCTGAAGTGAATTGTACGGGATCAGCCAGTAATCCAAAGTGGAGAATGAAGATGAGAAGTACGAGCTGTTTTCGATTTGACCGGGGTGGACCGGAGGGGGTGCATTTTGTTAACTCAGTCAGATAAGTCACTCATTACCAACAACGAACGGCTCATGGATTTGACATTCCGTACTTTCTTCTGTCAATCGATTTTCCCCTATTGTCTGTTTACTTATTTAAGCAATGAAAACATCTACATAGGGTGGTGTGCAACACTATCAAATATGTACATTTTAAGATCTCGATCCCCTGTGCTACTTGTCAGACGGGTGATTTTGTTCCGCATTAACGGCTTAACACAAACATGAACAATTTTATAAACCGAAACAGTGGGAAAAATTCAGACAAAAAAGATTCCAGTGTCCTGGTTGTCATGAGGATGGTTCTGGTCGAAGGTGAGTTAATGACGAGGAAGGGTTTTATCGATAAAACATCCTAAGTAGGGGTGATATTAGGTGCATAAGAAGTGTGTACGCCAGTTTGTATACCCGGGGCCAGAAAATGTGGTTTACTCATGTATTGCCTCATCACAATATTGGGCTCATATATAATTCTAAAAGTTGACTTAGCGTGACTGCGATTTTAATCACAGATGCTGTTACAGAAAGATGTAAAGTACTTGTGCAAAACCTACGGCGTATCAACGAAAAGGCGAGTACCGTAGCTTGATTAGTGTACAGAAAGGATAAAAAATATGGCCATTGTTTTTAGTGAGGCTCCGTGATATATCACTGAGTGAATTTCGTACATTTTAGACGGTTTTCGAAAGAAGCCTAGATAATTCATGGAATCAAATTGCCGGTTTGGATGTATCCTCAATAAAAGATAGGAGAATGTTGCAACTTGTCTACATGAACTAAGATGCAAGGTAACGATGATCGTAAAATGTGTTCACTGAGCAAGGAAAGTCACTTGCAACTTTTTGAAGGATTCAAGCTGAACTTTTCCCAATCAGAACTCTGTAGCTTAAAACCTTCAAGTTATGCGGTTTTGCGGAACTACGGTTCTCCTTTTACGATTTGCTAAAGAGTGAGCCTAACCAACGACCCTCAGGTAGTATCTGTGTTGTGGTCTGGGGCTTGCCTGTTTCATGGACGACAAAACACTACTGAAAGTTCTCAAATTCACCAGCCTCCTTCACACTGAAAGTTGGGATTATTGGTGAAGAAGACAGGCTTCGTGTCGCCCCAGCAAAACCGCGACATCATGCACACAAACAAACTTCCGCACAATATGTTTACCCTATCAAACTCATCGTCTTTGATTGAACCCCAGCGAAACTGTCCTGAGTTTGCTGGAGAAGCTCGTCAGTTGCACAAATGGAAGCGTTCTCTGTATGAACCAAGCCCTAGGAACCTCATGGGAATGGAGCAGTTCCAAACTATAGAACTGTCCAAAATCGTGTTATAGATAGGCTTGGATGATTTAAGCCAGTTATGAATAATAAAGGTTGTTGTGTTCGGTCGCTCGGTTGTTTGTTTTTAGCGTTCAATCAGATGGTGTGCTAAAATCACTTTGCATCCTTCAAAGCATCTAAATTATAGACAAAACTGAGTTCACCAAGGTGTAATTTGAATGCGCATTAGAGCATAAAATAGTGGTGATACAATGAATGAGTGCATCTAATTTCACAGTTCTGTATCAGCGTTTAGATCACTGACTCTAAGCAATTAGTCCACGCATCCATAGGCTCAATTCATTAAAGGTGTTTGTGAGAAAAATCTATTTCTGTATGTCACCGCACGTGCTAACACATGCAGGATAGTAATACGGACACTTGGTTGACAGTCTGCAGCCTAGTTTGTCTGAGACAGAGGCGAACAAGGAAAGTATCGGATGCATCACGGTAACCAATGGTAAAGTTGTTGAAGTGATGGTTGGTGAGAGACTAAAAGAAGTGCGGTTTAGAGCACCCTTTTGGAGTTGAAAACATCAAATTTCAAACTTCACACTGTTCAGAAAATTAATAAAACAGGCATTCGCTGAAAATTCCCCAAAGTAGCGCCAATGATTTGTATATTAAGGTTATATGTTGAGAAATAATAACGTAAATACAGCCCCGTCACACATTCATGGAGGAGAACGAGACCGCACATTCGGTCCTTAATTGAAACAGTTCTGATCAATTTGGTACACTCCCTATCTCTCTCGGGTGGAATAGCAGAAAAAATTAAACAAAATTGTGTACAGACTTTGGGATGTTCCATACAAATACCTTCTTTCGTGTTCACAAATGACGACCTTCATCATCAATTTGTTATTGGTTTCTCATTAGCTCAATTCAAAATTTTGTCGTCTGATATTCTTACATGACTCTTGGGTAGTCGATGACAGAGAAATATGTGAACAAACTCGTCTATGTGCTGTATCTGCGCCTTATCAGGCACACTCGGTGTGTGTTAGTTCTTGTCTTACGTTTTATGAGTCTACCTGGTTGTGTTCATTCTCCCATGAGACTGTCTGAGCTGAAACCGTGACTAAGACTAGAAAGGTACATGATTACTCATTTTTTTGTTTGTGTGATTGTGTGTGTGCCGGAAATACAAATTTGATAAATTAATATATTCTCTTGCCGTTGTTTGAAAACAGGTATACAAAAACGATAAGCAGAGCATAATCTTGTATTAATTTTGCCCAGAAGACGAGTTTCTCCATTTGATTATCGTTCTCTATCGGTTGGTTTGCCTGTTTGTTTTAACTAACCGCTTGCACCGTATTTCAGTTAGACGCACGGACCGTATAGTCATTTGTCTGTCAACCATCATTTCGCAATTCAGACGATACACAGTAGTCATCTATTGAGTTTATTCAACGGTGCTCTGGTTGATTCTCTGGGGATGGACGAAAAACTCCAATGAAATATGATACTTCTTTAACAAGCCTTGGCATTTCAACCAAACTGAACCTCTACTTTCTTTCAGCTGAAAAATTGTACAGCTTCCCTATTTCGAAAGTAGGGAAAGACGCTTTAATTGTGAAACCCACCCCTTTCACGGCGCGTATGAGCACCCGTCAACTACATCTCAGTTACACTACTTGACAGCTTTCACCCAAATTTGTCTTTTTACTCTTTCTCGAGGATGATAATAAGACTATGTTCCATAGCTGGTGGAATATGTGGGGCGAGGGGGTAGAAGTGGCTAATGTACTGATCGTTCGGTGACGATCTGCGTTGTCCCATCATTTTAGAGCTGAGAAACCGAAAGTGAGCGAGAGAGATCACGACAGTAAGTTGAATTGACACGACCTCTGTGGGTTGCTGTTCTCATAGTTGTTATTCTTATTGGGTTGGAAGGCAGCTCATTCACTAAGGTTTGATCAAAATAAGACAGTGAAGACCGACAACAAATCCAGGAGGAGATTAAACTAGTGATGGTAAAATTGGACTAAATTAGTATTAATTGGATGATTTTGTGATTATGTGGACCCCAGGGTGGGCGCACAAGCTTATAGTAATTTTGTTTACACTCCAGGCGCTTATTCAATCCGGCAACGCAATCAGTTTGGGGCTCAGATTATGAACTGAATAAGTTTGATCATCACAATTATCTGGACTATTGCCATCGTTTATGTAGAGCAGTGATTGGTGGCCGAAGCAATACTAGTGACTGTGCAGTTATAGTAATGCCTTCCAGTATCGCGCTTTTGTATGGCAGTCGAAAGGAGTATACCTAACGCTCGGCAATTGTCTTCACACTGCCCGTTTTCTAGCAGTTCCGGCTACTGAGCAATAAAAATGGGATCACTGCACTCGGTTCTGTCTCACTTTCTCTCTCTCTCGTAATTCCGCCGAACTATTTTGAATTTTGATCCCGCAAATTGGCTTCCCTGAAAGTAACTTTTGCATCCAGGTAGATATACAAAGGGCACCACACGCTCCCTGTGCGTTTTCCCCTTGCATGATAATTATTAGTTCACAGATCGTGACTTTTAAAAGTGAAGCTAAATCTAAATTGTACTGGGACAAAGGAAATAATGAGGCCCAGTGTTACGTGATTAAAACGAGCGACCAAAATCCGGAGATTTGGAGTAATGAGAGGGATGGCCTGGACGAGATACTCTACTGGATGAAAATGAAACTATCTTTGACCAAATACGGATATAATACTGACATTGTTCAAACAACAAAACCCAAGGCTCGGTTAAAATAAGTAACCGGCTCCAGTATTACTGGTACTACTACTACTACTACTTTTATTATTATTACTACTACTACTAGTACTACTAATGTTATTGTTACTACTTTCACTACTACTGATACCATTACTATCGCTGTTACCACCATCATCACTCATATCCATCACGACTAACTCACCTCGACTTCATGTAATGCGTCTTCTGTGTCTTTTAGGGACGCATCCAGATTGTCCCGTTCGGCTTCCAAACGAGCGCGGGAATTTTCCAAATCTGTGATTTGACGATTGAACGAGGCCAGACGTTCTTTCGTATCGCGTAATTTCTCTGTTTACGTAAAATCGAAAACCGCAAAAGTGTGGAAAAAGACCAATAGCATGTTTTGGTTCATGGAAACAATCGGGTTATGGTTCTTCAGCAATGCATGATTTGTATGTGGAATCCTGATTTTTGTCGGGTTCACTTTAAAGTCATAAAATACCTGTAATTTGCTTGGAAAATAATGAATTTCGTCGAGTACAGCGGAAAATAGTGTACACTGAGAAGCTAACCAGCACATCAAAGCTGTCGCAGTCTGAGCGGATCTCATCAACTGGGCGAGTTTATCAA